CCTCTTACTTCGTTATCTTGAATGTACTCTTTTGTCCCCTAGTTCATGGTTCTTGGGCCATTTTTCCAGTCTTTTCATTGCATAATTGCATACTTCATACCTCTATTATACACCTTGTTGTGTTTCTTGGTGTGCATATTGGCTGTCCTCATAAGGGTACTAGGCTAGACAATATACGTGTTCAGATCCATGATCCTGCACAGTACCGGTGTTCTGTTATATTTTTGTCTTCTTTCCTTTTCTCCTAGTATGCTATTACGAGCTGATCTGTTGAAACGTTGGCGGGTGGTGGTGCTTCTGGTAACTCCTACTCCTGCCCCCTACGGTTCATTGGCATTGGGACTAGTGGAGCCAGGGTTTGCAGCCCTGGCTGCGGACTTTCATTTGTATTTATTTTCCATGCTGCGTCTTTGTATTTTAATGCAGTATGTGTCCTCCAGTGTTCTCCTCCATGCATCGGCTGCGCATGTGTCATCTGCAATGCTGGAGCTGTTTCCGCCATTCCTGCGGGATGCTGTCGCAATTTTTGCTTCCCATTTTGCTTGTTGGCTAGTGGTGCTCATTTCCTTGTTGGCTTCTGCCAGGGCCCTTGCTCTTCGGTTTTTGTCGCCATTTATCCTCGCTGTTTGTGGAATCTGTGGTTGGGCGGTTTCTACAAGCGGTGGCTTCTAGTTGTCGTCCAAGTCGGCCTTGTTGGTTCTTTGGTGGTTCCGGAGGGGAGTTCCTCTCGGACAGGGTGGTTCTGTTCGCCAGGGATTTGGTTCTTTCCTAGCTCGCCTGGTTTGGATTCCTGGTGACCTATGACCTAGTAGAGGTTCCATCTGGTTCCCTGCCGGCCATGGTTCGGGCGCTGCTTGCTTGGTGTCCGCAAAATGGGGGTTTTCCCACGGCTCCGCCATTTTCAGATGTGTGGTCCGGTCCGTTACGTGGCTGGTTTGATCTTCTCGAATCTTCGCGTTTGATGCTTTTTTACTATTCTGTCACCGTCTGTTAGGTGATCAGGTGGCTTGTTGAGGGTGTCCCACCTGCGTGCTTCGCTGTGCCTCGTGCGACACTGGCGGAGCCGCTATAGCTTGCTTTCGGTTTTGATGTTTCTTCTGCACCATTTCGCATGCTGTCTCGGGCGTTGATTCACCTCCGGCTGGCTCATGCGCCACCTGGTTGTACTGGTTTTGGCCTGGGGGCTCTCTTCTTTCCACTCGGTTTCTTGCGGCTCCTTCGGTTCCAGGTTGTTTTCCGGAGGAATCCCTGCGGTTGTTGATACTTGTTTGGTTTGGCTGGGGGTGCATCTTTTTGTGTCCAGTTGTGGTTGCCTACGTGCCACAGTACACTTAGGTAATTACAGCCTTTGTAGCCCTGGATGCGCTTTGCGTTGCCCAGGTTCCCTTCGTCCTTGTTCCGGGGTTCGGGTCTCCCGGGTCATCTGCGGGGTCGGTTGGTATATGCCAGGCACAGTATCAAGGAACAAGGGTAAAGTACCTGTGTTGTATGCAAGAAAACTCAACTTAGAGAACGCAAGCGAAGATGCGTTCTCCACTTGGTGCGTTGAGTGCAAAGTTCCACTATGTTTCGTCGACTGTGTCGCAGAATATCACATGCTTGCAGAGTTCTGAGTGTGTTGATGGTAAATGTATATAGTGTGTGATAGTGTACAGTGTGTAAATATTTTATAAATATACAAAAATGAACATGAAACATTGGAAATATGAGCAAGACGATGAGTTACAATAACATGGCTGAAGAATGTTGACCAATCGACTTGAGAATGGTTCAGGACTGACCGAAACGTCGTCGTCCCTTCACCTTCTAGTGTGTGGTCTGGTCAACAAATATGAGCAATATATGTGGACACATTTGTGATGCATGTAACACAGTGTCTTGGGACAGTACAGATGTTCTACTGCCAGAATATTGTTTACGTGTTCAATATACATTGGATTGGCAAGAAAAAACAATATAAATGCATTTGGAAATGTATGGAAAAATGAACAAAAAATTATTTGTGGCAACTCGCGGATGTTGAAGTTGGCGCGTGACTGCTTCCGGGAGTCTACGCCACAGGCAACCACCAAATCATGACGTCACACACCATTTTCTGGACCCCATTGCAGCCAAAGTAAGTACAATTTTGATTTTATTTCTTCATATATGTGAAGAATATGTATGTGTTTAACCCTTAAACTGCGCATGGCGTATATATACGCCCTGAGTAACATGTCCCATGATTGATTGATTGATTGATGAAGATTAAGCCACCCAAGAGGTGGCACGGGCATGAATAGCCCGTAAGTGGTGGCCCTTTTGAGCCATTACCAGTATCAAGAGCTGATACTGGAGATCTGTGGAGGCGCGACTGCACCCTGCGTGACGGGAGATGTCTCCCGGACCAAGTGGTGACCAGATGTCCCATGGTGCGCATGGCGTATATATACGCCATAGGGTGCCAGGCCTCATTCAAATGGCCCGCGGCTACACCGGGTTCACAGTAGCTTCCTCAGGGCTCTTGTAAACAGATGCCATTTAAAAAAAAAATCGTGGGCAATATTCTTAGGTGTGAGAGGCACAGTACTGTTGGAGCAACCTAGGCCGGCGCACGCAGCATGAGCAAACAGCATTGCTGTTCAGCTTGTGACCACAGCATCGCCGAAAAATGTCAAAATAAATATATAATTGTTATTATTTAGCGATGACAATATTACAGATGACCCATGACAGTGATATAAATAACCAGGGTTGTGATAATAGCAGGATTGTTGTAATAATTAGCGCTGTGGGAGGAGTGATGCTGAGAGATGGAGGGAGACAGCATCGTTTACTGACTGTGTGGCTAGCTGTTATTGTTTGCATTCACCATACCAGGTCAGTGGTTCTCTATGGTGAACACAAATGTAGATACTTATATATAATGTGTGTATTAGTGTAATAACAGCAAAAGGATTATGCTGGGAGGAGCCATATGGGTGACGGAGGTGACGTCGTCTGCACGATTTGTCTAGCTGTTTAGAGGGTGGCCACTATGCTCTTTGGGCGCACTACAAGCTTAGGTGTACAGTTACGGTGCATAAAACATGTAGATATTTATATATAATATGTGTATATAGGGTAATAACACTGCAAAAGGTATTGTTGGGGAAGAAAGTTTAGTGCAGGCGATGAGTCACAATAACGTTTCTGAAGTATGTTGACCAGACCACACACTAGAAGTTGAAGGGACGACGACGTTTCGGTCCGTCCTGGACCATTCTCAAGTCGATTGTGAATGGTCCATTCGACTTGAGAATGGTCCAGGACGGACCGAAACGTCGTCGTCCCTTCAACTTCTAGTGTGTGGTCTGATCAACAAAGTTTAGTGCGTGTGACCTTGAAAGAGTGAGGGAGCCGCCAGCCGCCATCTGTGTATAGCGACGACTCTTAGTGCCTGAACTAACTATATCAGCTTAGCTGTACAGTTGTGGTGAACAAAATATATACATACTTATATATAACGTCTATATAGTGTAATAACACCACAAACTGTATTGTTGGGGGAGAAAGTTTAGTGCGTGTGACCTTGAAAGAGTGAGGGAGCCGCCATCTGTGTATAGCGACGACTCTTAGTGCCTGAACTAACTATATCAGCTTAGCTATACAGTTGTGGTGAACAAAATATATACATACTTATATATAACGTCTGTATATAGTGTAATAACACCACAAATGGTATTGTTGGGGGAGAAAGTTTAGTGCGTGTGTTGAGGGAGTGGCAGCGAGTGGCTGGCTGGTGTGTGGCGGTAACTCTTCGTTGCTTTTCGACTCTCAATACCAACTTAGTGGTTCGTTATAGTGACCAAAACATGCAGATACTTATATATAACCTGTGTATAGAGTGTAATAGCAGCAAAACTATTTGTTTATTGTTTTATAAACATAATAATTGAATCACTAATATGCACATCATACTTTTGAGTATAGCGATTATTCACCACTTTTATTATATAAATATATTACAATACACACTATTGAATAATAATACTGCAAAAAAACTAAGAAAAAATCAATTGGAAACATTGAAACAATTAGGTAATAATATCTTTGTGGCAACTCCCATCTGTCAGCGCGGGTGACGCTGACCGGGTCTGACGACCACTCTGTCAACGCCCATTTTTTGCCAGACTTCCTCGGTCAATTGCGCCCAAAATATGTCACCTACGATTTTTTTTTTATTTTTTCCGTGCTCAGGGGACACAAATTAACATGTTTAGAAGACGAAAAAAAATTTTTGAATTTTTTTTTTCTTGCGCACAGGGGTGTAAATGTCCCAAGGACCCCTGAGCAGTGTAAGGGTTAAAGGGGAGTGTGTTTAACATTTTGAAAAAAAAAAATCAGACTAATTTATTTCCTGCGCATCAGGAGTGTGCCATTTTTGGAGCTAGAGCAGTGCAGTGGTTAAATATTGAATTCCTCCTATTTTCTAGTAAATGTTCATATCTAGAGTTGATTATCACTCCCTTACTCTCACTCTCATGGGTTGTTTAATATGTTTATGCATGTATGAAGTCATTATTAAGTTCAGCAACTGGACTGCCAGACTTTTCTCTGTTCCTCCCACATGTGCCTTAAATTTCCAGCTACTGTGAATGTGGTGTGAAAAATTCTCGTTACTAACAATGTATATAAACTACTTGACAAACATTTGTCAGTTGTCAAAAGAGATGAGCTACTGTAATATATCAGTGTAAGAGAAGTTTTAGTTTCTACTGCATGTAACCTTATGATTTCCTATTAACCAAAGAGCAAGTGCAATATTAACTGCATGCAGTTCAGAATTGTTCTTGTTATAGGAAAATATAAATTGTCACTTATTATGTAATATACATGATAGCAATTTCATTAAGAGTTCATTTAAATTAATGACATTTCTTAATTATGTTTAGGAAGATTGTATTATCTTATTACTATACAAGAAACTCAGAATAATTGCTCTGCTTGTCAAACATGAACACTTTTATTTCCATGTCCAGCCACCAATAGTGAGATGCGAGACAAGACTTTGGCATCCTAATATTAGTGAGGAAGGAGAAATCTGTTTATCTCTACTGCGTCAAAATTCTATTGATGGCCTTGGGTGGGCCCCAACTCGAAGATTAAAGGATGTTGTCTGGGGCCTTAGTAGTCTATTTATGGTAAGTTTTTAAACAATTATTTTCTACACACTCAAAAAATCATGATTTCTTACACAAACACACACACATTAATATATGATAAATACAGTGGTATCTCGAATAACGAATTTAATCCATTCCGGGGCCGTGATCATCATGTGAAACAGACGTCATACAAAATGAATGTCCACATTGACAATAATGGGAATCAAATTAATCCGTTCTACCACCGAAAAACATAAATATGATATTCGATGTTTTAAATAATGGAGCAGCCTACCTTACATACACTGAACAAACCTTTATGATATTTACTTTCTTCAAATTTGTTCAATATTTTGTTTTCATTTGTCTTATAGCAAAAGGTTCATTCGGTGTTCGGCAGGTAGGCTGCTCCATGTTTCTTAAATAAAAAAAATGAAAAATAAAAAAAAAAGGTTGAAAAATTTGAAAAATGGACAAATGCCATAAAGGTTTGTTCAGTGTTTGTCGGGTAGGCTGCTCTATTATAACAATCTTTCTTTGTTTCAAATGTGTTCCATTTGTTTTGTATTTTTTATTTGTTTCAATAATGATTTTATTCACATATAAAATGGGAAATATATGATAAAGGCACAAAAAAATTTATATCAAAGCAGAGATGCAAAACTAAGGTAACAGGATTGGTTCGACAGAAATTGTGAGAGGGTCAGAGACCAAAAAACACAAAAATGGACTCAATATAGGAAGAGGCTAAACCCCCAAACATACCAGTGATACAAAGATGCGAGAAACAACTAAACAGCAGTGAGGAGAGAGGCAGAAAGAAATTTTGAAAATGGGATTGCAGACAAATGTAAAACAGAACCAGATCTATTCTATAAATTCATAAACAACAAATTGCAGGTAAAGGATAATATTCAGAGGTTGAAAATGGGAAATAGATTAACGGAAAATGAAAATGAAATGTGTGAAACATTAAACAAAAAAGTGCAAAGTGTGTTTGTACAAAATGAAATCTTCAGGGAACCAGACACAATAAGAATTCCAGAGAACAACATAGAGCACATAGAGGTGTTTAGAGATGAAGTGGAAAAAATGCTCAAGGAGCTAAGTAAGAACAAAGCAGTTGGACCAGATGGAGATTCACCATGGGTTCTGAGAGAATGTGCACCCGAGCTCAGCATTCCACTTCAACTGAGTTTTTAGACATCCCTGTGTAAAGTTGTTGTAGCTCATGTGTGAAAAAAGGCTAACATCGTTCCAATCTACAAAAGTGGCAGCAGGGAAGACCCCTTCAATTATAGACCTGTATCATTGATAAGTGTAATAGTCAAAATATTGGAAAAAATAATTAAAACTAAATGGGTAGAACACCTGGAGAGAAATGATATAATATCAGACAGACAGTTTGGTTTTCGATCAGGAAGATCCTGTGTATTGAATTTGCTCAGTTTCTATGATCGAGCCACAGAGATTTTACAGGAAAGAGATGGTTGGGTTGACTGCACATCTATCTTGACCTAAAAAAGGCTTTTGACAGAGTTCCACATAAGAGGTTGTTCTGGAAACTCGAAAATATTGGAGGGGTGACAGGTAAGCTGCTAACATGGATGAAAAATGTTCTGACTTATAGAAAAATGAGGGCGTAATCAGAGGCAATGTATCGGATTGGAGGAATGTCACGAGTGGAGTACCACAGGGTTCAGTTCTTGCACCGGTAATGTTCTTTGTCTACATAAACGATCTACCTGGTGGAATACAGAATTATATGAACATGTTTGCTGATGATGCCAAGATAATAGGGAAGATAAGAAACCTAGATGATTGTCATGCCCTTCAAGACGACCTGGACAAAATAAGTAGATGGAGCACCACTTGGCAAATGGAATTTAATGTGAATAAATGCAGTGTTATGGAATAGAACATAGACCCCACACAACCTATAAATTATGTGAGAAATCTTTGAAGAATTCTGACCAAAAAAGGGATCTAGGGGTGGTTCTGGATAGAAAACTGTCACCTGAGGACCACATTAAGAACATTGTGCGAGGAGCTTATGCTATACTTTCTAACTTCAGAATTGCTTTTAAATACATGGATGGCAAAATACTAAAGAAATTGTTCACAACTTTTGTTAGATCAAAGCTGGAATATGCAGCGGTTGTATGGTGCCAATATCTTAAAAAGCACATCAACAAACTGGAAAAGGTGCAAAGACATGCCACTAAGTGGCTCCCAGAACTGAAGGGTAAGAGCTATGAGGAGAAGTTAGAGGCATTAAATATGCAAAAGCTAGAAGATAGAAGAAAAAGAGGTGATATGATCACTACGTACAAAATAGCAACAGGGAATAAAAAAAAATTGACAGGGAAGAACTTTAAGAACAAGAGGTCATAGATTTAAACTAACAAAACAAAGCTGTCAGAGAAATATAAGAAAATTCACCTTTGTAAACAGACTGGTAGATGGTTGTAACAAATTAGGTGAGAAGGTGGTGTAGGCCAAAACCGTCAGTAATTTCAAATCGTTATGACAGAGTGCTGGGAAGATAGGACACCACGAGCGTAGCTCTCATCCTGTAACTACACTTAGGTAATTACAGACAGAGACCGAAAGACATAGAGAGACCGAGAAGACATAGAGAGACCGAGAGAGAGAGACCGAGAGAGACCGAGACATAGAGAGACCGAGAGAGACCGAGAGAGACCGAGAGAGACCGAGAGAGACCGAGAGAGACATAGAGAGACATAGAGAGACATAGAGAGACCGAGAGAGACATAGAGAGACATAGAGAGACATAGAGAGACATAGAGAGACATAGAGAGACATAGAGAGACATAGAGAGACATAGAGAGACATAGAGAGACCGAGAGAGACATAGAGAGACCGAGAGAGACATAGAGAGACCGAGAGAGACATAGAGAGAGACCGAGAGAGACATAGAGAGACCGAGAGAGACATAGAGAGACCGAGAGAGACAGAGAGAGACCGAGAGAGACATAGAGAGACATAGAGAGACATAGAGAGACCGAGAGAGACATAGAGAGACCGAGAGAGACATAGAGAGACCGAGAGAGACATAGAGAGACCGAGAGAGACATAGAGAGACCGAGAGAGACATAGAGAGACATAGAGAGACATAGAGAGACATAGAGAGACCGAGAGAGACATAGAGAGACCGAGAGAGACATAGAGAGACCGAGAGAGACATAGAGAGACCGAGAGAGACGAGAGAGACATAGAGAGACGAGAGAGAGACCGAGAGAGACATAGAGAGACATAGAGAGAGACCGAGAGAGACATAGAGAGACCGAGAGAGACATAGAGAGATAGAGAGACATAGAGAGAGAGAGAGAGAGAGACCGAGAGAGACCGAGAGAGACCGAGAGAGACATAGAGAGACCGAGAGAGACCTAGAGAGACCGAGAGAGACATAGAGAGACCGAGAGAGACAGACCGAGAGAGACATAGAGAGACCGAGAGACATAGAGAGACCGAGAGAGACATAGAGAGACATAGAGAGACATAGAGAGACAGAGAGAGACATAGAGAGACCGAGAGAGAGAGACATAGAGAGACCGAGAGAGACATAGAGAGAGACAGAGAGAGACTGAGAGAGACTCGAGAGAGACATAGAGAGACATAGAGAGACACTGCTTTTGTATATATAGAGAGACATAGAGAGATGCTCCACGGTGCTCACGAGAGAGACATAGAGAGACATAGAGAGACATAGAGAGACATCGTGGAGAGAGACATCCACGAGAGAGACATGAGAGAGTCCGCACCAGAGTGGCTAGTCTCTTCCACCAGAGAGACTGGTACTAGAGAGACAGGCAGAGAGACGAGAGAGACATAGAGAGACACGAGAGAGACCTAGAGAGACATAGAGAGACTGAGAGACATAGAGAGACATAGAGAGAGGTCGAGAGAGTAATCAGAGAGACATTAGACTAGGGACACTAGAGAGACTTACAGGAGACACAAAGAGACCTAGAGACTCCATAGAGAGGCGTTGAGAGTCTAAGCGCCACCTAGAGAGAGGTCAGCAGAGGCTAGAGTCACGAGAGAGATTAGAGAGAGGGAAAGAGAGACATAGAGAGACCGAGAGAGACCGCCTTCGACTAGAGAGACATAGAGAGACCGAGAGAGGGTTTCGAGAGCTGACATAGAGAGACATAGAGAGGTCAGAGAGACTTAGAGAGACATAGAGAGGCTAGAGAGACATAAGAGAGACAGAGAGAGACAGAGAGAGACATAGAGAGAGAGAGAGACAGAGAGAGACAGAGAGAGAGAGAGAGAGACAGAGAGAGAGAGAGAGACAGAGAGAGACGAGAGAGAGAGAGAGACCGAGAGAGACATAGAGAGAGAGAGAGAGAGAGACATAGAGAGAGAGAGAGAGACCGAGAGAGAGAGAGAGAGAGACCGAGAGAGAGAGAGAGACCGAGAGAGAGAGAGAGAGACCGAGAGAGAGAGAGAGACCGAGAGAGAGAGAGAGAGACAGAGAGAGAGAGAGAGAGACCGAGAGAGAGAGAGAGACCGAGAGAGAGAGAGAGACCGAGAGAGAGAGAGAGACCGAGAGAGAGAGAGAGACCGAGAGAGAGAGAGAGATAGAGAGACCGAGAGAGGGAGAGAGAGAGAGAGAGACCGAGAGAGAGAGAGAGACCGAGAGAGACCGAGAGAGAGACCGAGAGGGGCCGACCGAGAGAGACCGAGAGGGGAGAGAGAGAGACCGAGAGGGCCGAGAGAGAGACCGAGAGAGACGAGAGAGAGACCGAGAGAGAGACCGAGAGAGAGACCGAGAGGAGCCGAGAGAGAGACCGAGAGAGAGACCGAGAGAGAGACCGAGAGAGGCCGAGAGAGAGAGAGAGAGACCGAGAGAGAGGCAAAGAGACCGAGGGGCCATCCCCCCCTGGTAGCTGTGGGTGTCAAGTGCATGGATTGCTCTGTTTTCTTGCATCCTTGCTGAGGTGTAGTTGGTTGTTTTGGTAAGTTTGTACTTATCTCGCTGTGCTCCTCTTGTGCTTGCAGGGGGTCGC